TGTTGATCTCCAATGAAACAATTAGAGGAAAATTTTGTGTGTAAATGCATGGAATTTGTGTTTTATAGGAAAAATTTTAGTTTTTGGCATGATTATTTATTCTAATTTTTCCTATGATATTTAGGGATTTTCTATGCAATTTTTTGAGTGAAGAAGAATCATAGCTAGTGGTTGGAACCAGAAGGAAAGAGGGAACTAGATTCAAGAGAAACAACTACTACGTTTTGATTTTTTTTTCTTTTTTAGATTGATTTGATTTTAGATTAGTTGAGTTTGATGAATAATGCTATATGGAGTCACAGGGATTTTCAACTCCCAAAGATTCTGTGCAATGTTGCCATTGTGGATGTAGTTGTTCTGTGATCAACACTTCCTTCGATGTCTAGATTCGATCTGTAAAATAAAAAATACGAAGAATTTGAGGCTAGAAACCAGTTCTATGTGCTAGAAATTGATGTTTAGTTCAATGCCAAAGTGCAAATTGAGAATGAGTGTGCTGCTTTGCAAGAGATGGTGTGTAATCAACAACAAGCAATACAAGATCTACATACAAAACTGGAGGGGGAGAGAAATGCCTCATCTTGGTGACAAATGAGGCCACGGGGATGATATTGAGATTGTAGAGGGAGAAGGCAGAGATCCAAATGGCATTTCAACAATCCAAATGGTTTGTAGAGGAGAAAATGGCTCATGACTTGCAGGAGATTTTGGCAATGAAGGATTTGTTGTATAAGAGAGAACAGACTATTCATTCCCTTGTGAAGTGCAAGCTTATAAGCATAGAATGATAAGCCTTAAGGATTTGGAAACATCTGCCATCCAACATAGAATTTGCTTTGATGAGTCTGATGACAATTTGTCTAGCAAAGCATCCACCTCAGCAAAAATAATCTAAGTCAGATATAGAGTAAGGGCTAATGAGTGCAATGTTAAAACTTAACGGATTGATTATGCCAGGCTTAACAGAGGGGCTAATTTGCCACTACAGACAAGTTAAGGGGTTAGTTTGTGTGTGAACTGAGTTCAGAGGCTGTTTTGCCACCAGTCGACAAGTTGAGGGGCTAATTTGCATGTTTTGCCTTTATGGAACCTAGGAAGAATTTAACATCCACAATAAATCTCAAGGCATACTTATATGAGTTTCATTTTTACATTTCCCAATTATATCATAATACAGGGCTAATTTGCATGTTTTGCCTTTATGGAACCTAGGAAAATTTTAACATCCACTCATTTTTACATTTCCAATTATATCATAATACAAAAGATTTATTTAATCTATACTTTAAAAGCACAAATTAAGAATGTAATTAATACACTTTTTATATTAATTGCTATAGAAAATAACAAAAACTAATATTAATTTAATTTTTTTATGAGAAATAGAGAAATTTATTAAGTAATAAGAAATTACAACAGAATCTTCATCTCATGGCATATAGCCAAAATCAAAATAACCTATGGACAAAATCAGAAGTATAATCTACAACACTAGTAATAGACTTAAACTATACCTATGACGGACATAGATAATTATGCAAAAAAAGCCATCTGCAACTACGGATTGAATTTACAATCGTTGTATGAGCTAAATAGGACTACCAATGTAGAAAGGAGAGTCACTATAAGCATTAAGAACTACTGGACATCCTCACCTATTTAACCAGCTTCTTAGGGAAAGCAAGGGATTCAGACAACAAACAATCCCCAACCCACAAGTTGCCACCCTATTTGTTCTTAAAGAAGAACAACCAAGAAGGGTATGTGCCTTTTCCTGACAAACACAAGGCCCCTCAGTCGCCTCCATATACTCCCAATCATGTTCCCCTCTTTGCTGATCCTCTTCAAACCCATGCTGTCGAAACTCATTAAGGGAACTAGAGCCCCTTTGCCAGCTTGAAAATCAAGCTTCCCACGCAAACCATAGCCAGTCTTACCAACAGCATCCCTTTCCTTCGGCAATTGGCTAGTTGATCAGGAATTGGTGTGAACTAGGTTCGCCGAATTTGACCATCGCCAACATCCCATCCGAGGAGATGCACCAAAGCGAGATTCTCACCCATTAAATAGGAGAAACCCACTTCATCGGCAAGATCAATTCTAATCGCAGCGTTGGAAAATCAATAGATGTAAACCCTATAAAACCCAAAAAGCCACTGCCTTATGGTCCCTTGGGTTGGAGTTTCCAAAGCAAGACAGTGACAAGAGGAAGAAGGAGATCAAGAGGAGGAAGAGAGGGGTAAGAAGAAAGGAGGGATGAAGGAACAATTATACCGAGGAAAAACTCTAGGGAGGAAACCCGTCGCCACTGCTCTCAACATTAGAAGCAGTGCACGAAAAAAACCCTAAGGAGACACTAATATTAATTTTATTATCAATGATACATATATTATTTTAATTAGACAGTTGATTAAATAGATATCAAGTTTTATTTTTTTTAATAACAATTAATGCTAAAAAAGTGTTCCTAATCCATGCCCGCGCAAGTTAAAAAAACCTTAAGACAAAATAAAAATTATAAGATGATAGACAACACACAATATTAAAGGATCTACCTTCATTTAATAATTTAAGTTGTATAATTTAATATAATTTAATATAATTTAAATTATACATAATACATTTTTATATTAATAAAGCGGCAAAAACTCCAATTCGTCAAGTCAATATGGTTGTTGACCAACTGGCAAGAATGAGACATAATCTTTATCAGAATTTTGCTGTTCTTTCTCAATATCCCAAGGAGGTTAAACCATTTTGTGTTCTAGATATTATGGGGCTTGAATCCCCCACGACTAGATGATGTACTGCTATTTTGTTTAATGATATCTCTTCCTTTTTTACAAAAAATAAATAAATAAATAAATAAATAATAAAAAAGAAGGCAAAAACTCTAAACCTTATGCAATATCATCGTAAATTCATTGATCCATTGTGGATAGATTTCAACAATGGGGAAAGTCGTGAGACATCACAGTTTGATTCGCATGATTTTCTAGCAGAACCTCAACAAAATTTTCATTTTCGTTCTCTACTTCAACTTGCAATAATCTGCCACAGTTTGAGGGGTATTGCTTATTATATATTTACTCATATAATATCAAATAAGTATTATAAATTTATAATATTTTTCGTGAGATTCTAACTTTATTTCATTTCCATTGGAATTATAAGCAAATCAAGGTCAAACATGACAAATGTGTGATTAAAGTTCAATTAAATTGACTAATGAGTCTAACTTGGTATCTTAAATATATACTTGTGTCGGAATCTGAGATTCAAAAGAAAAAGAACTCATTAACTCAATCCAGCAGAAAGATAGCAGAAGAACGTGGGTCAGCAGAGAAGCTGTTAGGCAGAAGATGGGTCCAAACCAAACAGTTTCAGTTCCCAAAAAACGCGTAAGAGCACTGTGAAGGGACAACAATCTTAAATCAAACACGTGGGCCTTGCCTCATGGAAACTTCCATTTAGATTTGGGAGATCCACCGTCAAACACTGTTCACCTTGGCACAAATTTTGAGGCTACCCTCTTCCACGTCCCCTCAACATTCATTTTTCTCATCGACTCCTGGTCCTATCCGTCAGATCATGTTGTTATGCTGCTCCGGTCTCCCATTAACCATCAGTCCCGAGCACAGCACTGGCGCGTCTTTATAACATCAGATAAAACAAAGTAACATATAGGTAAAACTCTACAATAAGTCTTTAAATTTATTTTATATTTATAATTAAATTCTTAAAATTTTATTAAAATAAATAAATTTTTAAACTTGAACCAAACCTTCAATCTGATGATTCATTTTCAAAACTTAGCATTTGGATTTAATTAGTTAAGAATTCAACTCCCATCAATGACTTGAAAAAAATCACTCATTTCCAAAATTCTTCCATGTCAAATTTTTTTTTTTTTAATTTGATAATTTGAGTAATTTAATTATTTTTTACTATGAATTTACTGTCTACTTATACCTTACTTATATGGATGAGATCAATATCAATTACATTGATAATAACATATTAATTTTTATTTACACAAACGAGATACAAATAAATATTAAATCTATCTTAAAAAAAATTAAATTATCTAAGTTATCAAATTTAAGAGTTTATTTATTTTAATAAAAATTTAAAAATTTAATCAAGAATTGAGAATAAGTTTGAGTGCTTAACATCTGGTTCTACTTAACATATATTTGTAAGTTTCTATCTTACATTCAAAACCACTAAATAGCAGAGGGCATCAAATATTATTAGGACCCATTTCTCACAGGTAACAAGGACGGAGTGTGTTCTGTCCTTCGTAAAAAAAATCTCTGCAGGAATCCCACTCTCACGCCATATGAAAATTGAGATGGTAGAACACCTTTAAATTTTTTTTAAGGAATGGCTATCAAGTCAAACTCATAATTAATTCATGAGAAGTGCATTTTACTTGAAGCAAGTAGCATTGCTAACCTGTATTAGAATGCGA